GAACATGTCTCTCTTTCTGATAATGCCATCCACTGATAATTCAATGCTTGTTATTGCAAGCAGCCATGGAAAATAGTCCATTTCAGGGCTCCAAAATTGATTTCTCGGTAATATATGTACATTACTCTGTATTTCTTTATGAACATTGCTTTTACCCCTTCGTAAAATCTCCAGTGGCAATGGGTGGTTCTTGTGTGGCGTGTGTAAGCGAAAAAAAAAAGGCGGCATGTTTCGATTGTCCTCATGACTGGAAAGGGTGGTTGTGGAGTCTCTGCTATGACAAGGCTGCTAGAAGTCGCTCGTGGAACACCTAGGCAGACGCGCAGTCCCCTAGCTAATAGTCTTTGAAGTCGCTCCTCTGATGTGCGGGAAAGGCCGTGTAAGACTGTTGCAGAATATGCAACTTTTTGTCGTATTAAAGCATTGTGAACATTGCCATTGATGTAATGAGCTAACTTTAGAGTAGCGTAGCTAAGCTAAGCTAAGCTAAGCTAAGCTAAGCTAGATATAGCTGAGGGTTACGCACTTGAACATGTTGTAACTCAGCGCACAACTAGGCGTACGCAAGAGTGGAAGGGACAATTCCCGCAGTCCCTTCTTCTCTTGTGTCCGCGTAGTCGTGCGCTGTGTTACAATATATTCAAGTGCTCTCACCAATTGGCCCAGTTCTCGGTCCTTCTACAGAGGGCTATACGCAGCTGCATGCGTAGACACTTTGGCAGCTAGCTATGGGAACGTGATCACTGAAACGTGAATTGATCTTTCTTTTCCCATAGCCACTCGATTAAAATATGCAAGATGTGTGCGTGTGTGTGCTTGCATAGAGTGGCCGTCCCTGTTTCTTTACGTGCACCTCAATGAAAGTTCTAGTGCGCTGCGATTTGTGGAAGCACCACAGGATCCTACCACACCTGACCTCGTGCTATACCGTCAGTGTCTAGCGTTACAGCGGCATTTTTGAAAAGAGCGAATTTCCCGCGCGCATTCGATGGCAATAAAGACAGAAGATTATACTAAACTCTTGCAACAGCTGTGGCATGCAAAGTCATATGTTCTTTCATGTTTTGATACTGCGAAAACATAGCCACGGTGAACGTGAGCTCAAGCTTTCGCTGTACATGGAGTTTTGTGGTTCAATTATTGCATTCATAAGTCTGGCTGCTCGTTACCTCTTTGAAGTTTGCAATGAGGCTTGAAATAATATGTGTCCACCTCGGTAGAATAGTAGTTACGCTGCTTGGTCGCAGACCTGCAGGTCGCCGAATCGTGCTTGGAAGCGGTGGTTGTCGCATTTTGACGTATACGTTATATGGTTGATGCTCGTGTATTGTGCATATCCAAACGCACGCTAAAGAACATCAGATAGTCGAAATTTCCAATATGGTGTATCTCATATTAATATCGTAATTTTTGGACGTAAAATGACTAATAATATAGATATGTTATTATTATTATTATTATTATTATTATTATTATTATTATTATTATTATTATTATTATTATTATTATTATTATTATGGAAGTTATAGATAACCTTTTATCATATATCATGCCACCATTCGCTCCACTGCGTAGAATGTTTTTGAAATGTCGACCATTACGCTGGTCTTACCATTTACGACTTCTGACATTTCGTCGTTTGAAGCCGAAAAGTTTGGGCAAGCCGCAATGCTATTCTGACTGCGCTAAACAAATACATTTAACCAACCGCAAGCTACCACAGCCACCACTGAAAACATTTTTTTTTCGATATTATTTCTGTAAATTTTATTAGTTTTTACCTCACTCACTTTTTAATTACAGCGTGCTTAGTCCTTTTCGTTTTTTGTAATGTTGCATGGCGTTTACATTTCCATTTTATATAATGTGACCATTTCCACATGCGTGCGTGAGTCACTTTGCATTAGGCGACAAAAAGAAACAGAACCTGTTTGCGCGCTTCTTTTCTACCGCTATTATTTCGCATTAGACCACCATATATAGGCGTATACCCAGACATTTTTTTCGGGAAGGGAGGGTGTGGTTCAATGATCTTTTTGTATGCATTCGTGCATGTGTTTGTGTGCGCGTGTGTATATGTACACACAACATTGACGAAAAATTTGGGGGGTGATTTGAACCCGCCTCCCATGATCATTTTTCAACTTCGCACGTTTACAGATGCCGGTATATATACATACGCCCGCATGAATGTACATAAACCATGGTATAGCACGCCCCCTCCTACCGAAGAAAAAATATTTCTGGCTACGCTGCAAGGGCTGAGGTTGTATTAATCCTTAGGTTGCAATTGACTATACAAGCATTCCTTTGAACATCTCTTAATCGTTTCTCATTTATCCTTTGTACACACATAGATACTGCACCTTCAGCGGATTTCGGCTCGAAGTCCAGAGTTCTGGTCTTGCAGCGAGTTCTCTCCAAAGTTCCATCGACGAAGACGTACGTGCAGAAGACGGCGTCGTCCTGGCTGATCCAGGTCGAGATATCGTTGTAGCACTGCCGCTCTGTCCACGGCCATGTCCTGCGTCTCGCGTGCAGAAAACACCGAAGACTACCGAGGTAAGCTCCAAGTTGCCGAATGCCTTCTTAGTATGGCGACGGGCATATCATCGCGCGATAGCGTATTTAGGCGGTACTATAGAGCGTTCTGAAGGTGATGTCGCGACACCACGTAAGTACAACAGATTACGCCACTCGAAGATACAATTGTTTAAATCGAAGCGCAAACATCACGGTACTCGCGCCCGGTTAATCGTGCTTCGGCGCTCCATTCGTGCTGGCGTGCGATATTTCTCCGACCCGCCGCAGTGCGCTGTATTAACGGCAGTTGCAGTTTGAATGTTTCGGGCTCTACTTAGCAGTACGTTTCATTGCATTCACAATGAATGCACTCTGTACATGGACATTGTGCACATGCACTGTGTACATGGACATGGACATCTTTAAGGCATACCTTCTTCGAAAAACGCAATCTTAGATATGTTTGCTTCGAGAATAGGCCACTCTGAATCAACTGTGTAACGAAACAGGCTAATAATACAACTCCAGTGTTTTGGAACTCATTCACGACTTTCATCGAATTTTCGAGGCCACACACACACGCACGCACACACACACGTTATATGTTTGTTCAGGTACAGTTTCATTGTTAAATCATACTTGAGCGAAGGTTCTGTTGTACAATACAGTATTTGTGGCAAAAAAAGAGAGACAGAGAGATCTTTATTGAAAGGCAGATAATTTAGCCTTTAGCCAGCGTGTGTATATCGCTGACTTGCTACTCTGTGTGGCGAAGGGGATCGAGGATTGAAAGACAGAAGAGAGAGAGAGAGAAAATATTAAAAGTGAGAACGGAAAAGAAAAAGAAATTAAATATACGTATTTGTAGCAAGCAACATATTCTGCCCATCTTCACGAGCCGTTGAAAAGTCTGATCTGCTGTGTTTACTTGTAAACTTAAACTCGTGTTGTACGGAAGCTGAGGGCTAACGAAACAAGGCGAGTACAAAGAAGTTACATATGCGCAGATCAACGCGCAAGTCGGCGACCCGATTTAAAGAGCACCACAGCTACTGGAAAGAAGGTCATGGCTAATTGTGACGAAAGAAGCGTATCAAGTATCAGTGTTCTTAATTCGTTGCAACAACATCGGCATGGAGTCAAGATTCGGATCGTGGGAAGATCACGCCGCCAGCTTAACGTAATGTAAAAAAAAAACTATAAGGCTGAACTGGGCAAAGCATTTCTTTCTTGTGCCATTTAGCTCACTATTGCATGCGCGTCAGCATCAACTTTATCCGTGTGCTTTTTTTTCGTTTTTCTTTTATTCATACTGCGCAAACTCAAAACGTGGGATAGACCTAACGCAGTTTATGGTAACATAGCTAGCCCAAGGGGTGTGGTGGACTATACAAAGGCTACTACGCCATATGCTAGCCCAAACTGCACAGATTCACACGAAGGAGACGACAAACACATGTACATCGTTAACAACTACGTTCATACGCAAAACAGGCACTACAGCACTTATATAATACAAATATACGCATGCAAGGGCAAGCCTTCATCGCACAACAAATATAGTAAAGAAATAAACAAATGAAACATTCCTACGGACCATGTAGATTGTGCGAATCTGTTTCATGCGAAGCAGTCGGCGAGTAGCTAGCTGTCAATGCTTCATTCCTTTAGCGTTGAGTCGATTGTTACGAGTTGGAGAAGCGTAAATGAAGTAGTTATGGTAGATCGTGTGCTTACCGGGCACGGCGACTACACTGACGTTTAAAAAGTAACTGATGCGTTTTTATAACGTCAGCATTCATGCGAGAGCGTATATGCCATTTTCTTTTTAAACGAAGCGCACACTGCGGGGGATTCAAATTTCGCGTGCCATGCTGTGCATGTTATATAACATTCACTAGTGTATCGCTCCGGATCGAGCAGCGCTTTTATCAAGCTTGCAGTCGCAAGAGAACGTACGTAATGTTTATTCGATTATTATAGAAGCGGAGCCAACACTGGAGCTCAAATCGATGTAAAGCCAACGTAACGTCAACGCCACGTCATGACTTCTACGTGACTGCTCCCCCTTTGCCCCCCCCCCCTCTTCCTCCTCAGAGGTAGCTGGAAAAAAAATTAGAACAGATTAATTCCCCGCCCCACTTCCCTGCCCCCCTCCCCCTGAAAGAACACACCTGGTATGCCCCTCTCCCCTCAGTAAAAGAAAATATCCTGGTGCCGGCCATCACTGCGGCCATGGGGATCTGATTAACGGCGCAAGCCAGTGTATGATGGCGTCCCTGTGCAAGCATTACAGGGCTAATCGGGCTTAGGGGAGCATACTCGATCGAAAGAAGAGAGCACACTCAGCGCCGACGAGCGGAGAAAGTGAAGTCACTGTGTATGACACGTTCTACGGGGCGCTACCTTCGATGAGAAAACCGTATTGGAACAGTATGGTCGAAAATGTTAACAGACATTCCCAGCAGTATTTATAGGGGAACTGAATCCGAGGAAGCTTTATTCAACCAAACACAGAGTTTGAACGAGAGCTTGCATGGCTCGGTAAGGTTCCACGTTGGCGCCCGGCCTGCGGTCTTCGAGAAATCCTCGACCAGCCACCTGAGTCTGTCGGGGCACGCGCACGCACACGTTCTTGCTGGCGACGCCAGCAGAAAACTGGCGTTGGGGAGTAGCCAGTCGATCGCCTTTCAGCCACTCTTCGTTGGACTTATCCTTTCTGGGATCGTATGCTGCCAGATGGAGCTCGTGAGTGAGTTCTAGCTTGGCGATAGCCTTGTTGATCCAACTGCAACAGGGAAAACGAAAAAGCATATACATTCGTATTTAATCGCTGGAGTGAACTTTACATCTTTCTAACATGTCTCGTATATCAAGTTGGGCTGTTGCAACATGATTTAGAAATACTGCAGCGCAAAAAAAAACAAGAAAAAAAAGCCAGGTCTGTGCGAAGAGCGCATCGTAATTCCAGCGAAGGCAGGGAGAGGGTAATTTCTGGAACTTGTTGCAAGCACTCTTAAGGATGCTAATACGAGTGCACTTCAAAGGCAATTGAAATGCCATAGATATAATATTTTGATGTAGGGCCATTTATCGTCATTTTGTGGAGAAGCGAAGATCTCGCTACATATGTGCAAGGCGTTTTGTGCACCTCGTTGATGTAGTGGCTGATCACGATGAATAATTGTCATTCCATATGTAATGCCCTTTGTAATGAGCCCTTTATAATGGGTTGAGCTTATGACAACCGGTCGTTGTTTTACTCTCCGACCACGCATTATTACATACGTGAGAAAAATAGAAGAGAAAAATACCTTTTTTCTGGCTCTGGGGGAATATGTCATGATCTTTGGGCTTCCTTGGCGACTAATACAAAATCATAAATGTCCAGTAACATTAAAGATCTTGTGCTCTTGATTGATTTATATGTGGGGTTTAACGTCCCAAAACCACCATATGGTTATTAGAGACGCCTTAGTGAAGGGCCCCGGAAATTTCGACCACCTGGGTTTCTTTAACGTGCACCCAAATGCCGTGCTCTTCTATCATATGGTATATATTTCCTAAATATTAGAATGCAAGCTTTACATGCCTCATCACACACGAAATGTGACCATGCGTGTCGTGAATATGAGCTATGCAAAAAAAAAATTATGTGACGTCATCGCATAGTAAAAGGTGGGTCAATCCCCGAGGCACAGCAAAACATGTAAAGTGCAGAAAGCTTGCAGCATGAAGTTTCCTAAAACTAACTAGAGGGGACTCTGGTGTTGCGATCTTTCAGCGAATATGGGGTGATGGATAGTACACGGATTTGCCGAGTCTTCGTATACCTGTGGGTCTCGAACTGCACTTGTCGATTCGTTTATTGCTGTGCTTCGGTTCTGATTCGAAGAAAAGAACGAGCCCTTTGGAACTTCTTGACCCGATTTGAAATGGTCAGCCCAAAAGGTTTTAAGGTGGTGAGGTTCAACTGCTGAACATTTTCTAAATTTGTCTTGTAACAACAAAAAAAGAAATAGCTCCAAGCCATGTGAACATAAATGGAGCCAGAAGTACGAAGATTAGACAAATTCGTGTACTAAGCATAATTTCTATGCTTGCTGAAGCGCCGTGCGTTGCAGCTATCATATACACTAGCGTTATAGTTCCCTCTAGTGCATATATAGGAAACTTTATAGCTTGCAGTGCCTCCGATCCCGGAGGCAGTGCAGAACTACCTTGGGTGCAGTAAAAATTCAGGAGAAGAGGGGGCGCAATTCAATCGACTGGGAAAACAGAAAAGAATGGAATGGCTTTTGCCTTCAAATCGTCTTAGACAAATTCATAAGTGACCGTGTGAGTTCTTACTACAGCTATCCAGCATCAACAGAAATCACTCTACTGGTGACTTACTCAAGGCCTCCTTCACTTCGGGACGACTTGGTGCTAAAGTTGATGTGACCCGCGCCACCCGGCAGTTTGTAGTTCTTAAATGGCCGTGGCTCGAAGCTTACTACGACGTCGAAGTCCTCGGCCACTCGCTGCAGAATGTAGCGGGACATCCAGAGGTGGTCGCCCGCCTCCACGCCAGGCAAAGGCCCGATCTGGTTCTCCCACTGATCAAATGAAGTCACAACATGTACACTTAATTAGCTGCGCATAGCTAGGGTGTAAAATTACTGCGTAAAAGCATGTAAAAGGATGCGCGGGGAAAGTGACCGTGTTGCATTTTTCAATTGAGTGACACGTTATGAAATAATGATTGATATGATTGATTGGTATGTCGGGTTTAACGTCAAAAACCACCATATGATTATGAGAGACGCCGTAGTGGAGGGCTCCGGAAATTTCGACCACCTGGGCTTCTTAAACGTGCACCCAAATGTGAACACATTGGCCTACAGCATTTTAGCCTCTATCGGCTAAATATATGAACTAACGCTGCACGCACAGACATATGTTGAGTGTAAGATGTTTATACCACCAGTTGTTTGCACTTGCGCAACGATGGCAACAGAACATGAGTATTAGCAACACGAGAGGCGATAATCTGACATGAAGGGCTTGTTCTCTCGAGGATGATAGCCCTGGACACTGCTACATAGATCAACTTCAGCACACGGCATCTAACAACAATCGACGTTAACCCGACGTGACGACTGTATTAGAGGAGTACGTATGTAATGTTTGTAAAATTGGATACTGATTTATATGTGCGCTTTGACGTCCCGAAACCACCGTATGGTAATGAGATACGCCGTAGTGGAGGGCTCCGAAAATTTCGATCACATGGGGTTCTTTAACGTGCTCCCAAATCTGAGCACACGGGGCTACAACATTTCCGCCTCCATCGGAAATGCAGCCGCCGCAGCCGGGATTCGATCCCGCGACATGGGGGTCAGCAGCCGAGTACCTTAGCCAACGTAGACCACCGCGGCGGGGCATGATTTCATCGCGCACGGCAGTCATTCCAGACGAAGCAGAAGGAAAATATCTCAAACTACGCGCACCTTTAGCGTTAAAAAAATATAGGTATGCCATAAATTGCCACGAACTACAACTTTGTGCCACAAACACCTGCCCTCAGGTGAGTAATTAAAATGTTAACGAATTTTCTAAATTACTACACACAGTGTCACATAAGTGTCACCAAAATATTTCCATGTCGACGGGTAGTTCCTTAGCGAAAACAACAGGAGCCTCGTTGTCATAGATTTTTATACATAATTTGTTTGTTAGTGCACTGTGTAGCAGATCAGCAGGGATTCAGCGTAGATCCGCAGGGATCCAGCGAGAAATCTTCAGCTACCTGTCATCCATAACCTGACACGCAGCACCGCGTAGCGTTGTGCCAACAGCAGCGTCACTCGCGGCTTGCGTAAGTATTTGTTTGTGCCGTAAAATCTAGTTGATACAATCACGCTTAATAAGTTTTTCGGCTTTAATCTTTCTTTGTATTTACGGCCGACGATCAACGTACGTGTTGCGTTTACACACGGCTGATACAAGCGAAGATTCTTGCGTGTGTGCCTAGTCTTCTATTCTTTCTTTCTTTCTTTCTTTCTTTCTTTCTTTCTTTCTTTCTTTCTTTCTTTCTTTCTTTCTTTCTTTCTTTCTTTCTTTCTTTCTTTCTTTCTTTCTTTCTTTCTTTCTTTCTTTCTTTCTTTCTTTCTTTCTTTCTTTCTTTCTTTCTTTCTTTCTTTCTACGTGTATATTCGCTTGAGTTTGAATATTCCCCACTTAATTTTTTTTATCCACGTCAACCAGTTTCTATATATGTCATAATTACTATATACTACAGTTAAATGTTGCATGGAATGACCCTATACCTTCTTTAGCATCACTGGCTGCTGTGTTTGTTAGGTTGTTTTATACCTGTGAGATGACGGCTTCGCCGTTGGAGCCGTAAAGCTTGACTCCGGCGTATGAACACGCTTTGACGTGTGCGTCCGCAACTTGCCGGCCGGCAACGTTTTCAGAACCCACCGCATAAAAATAGTTCTCTGCAAGGAACATGTGTAGTTAAATAAAGTAAAAAATAAATAAGCTGTCAGGGTTTCTTCACTCGATTTTTTTCCGTCGTACTAAGTGTGTATTAGGAAATGCGCCATAATATGCAATGAATTTACGTAAAAATAGATACTTTTGCACTATATCTGCTCATTAACAGCTCATACTCAAGCATACGTGACTGACAGGAAAAAAAATGACTCAACAACAACCATGCGATATTTATTTGTCATGAATATTGAAAAGGAAAGAACTGCTGCTCAATGATACATAAAAAAGGCCGCATTATTGAGCAATCACTCACTTGGTAATTTTCGTGTTTTTGCATGCTTAAAAAGAATTGTTTGAAAAACAGGCGAGAGGGCTGTTATCACTGCAAAAACAATCTAGGCTCACTATGAAAAATAGTCAACTCCGAAGGATTTTTAAGCGTTTGGTGTAATAAGAAGTATGCGAAAATATCCGTAGAATGTAATATAGGCGTTGTCTACCGCATTTCTTTATCATGTGGTCGATACTACATCGGTCAGACGGGGGCGTTGTCGGAACGATCGCCTTAGGAAGCACGAAATTATCATGCGAAGATCAATGGGTGGCGATTTGGCAAGTCACTGTGCGAATTGTTGATGCACCCCGATGTTTGAAGTATCCCAAGTAATGGCAAGATCTATAGGGACAAGAAGGCACGTGAAATACATGAAGCGTTTCCGATTCGCAAGGATCCTGGGAACGGAGTGGGTGACTGCCCCATCTGTGAACTTGTTAGACAATGAGTACAAGTATCTTTTCAGTTAAAATATAATTTCAAGATTTGAATAAGATGTTTTGCGCATGCGCCATCACTTTCTCTTTGTCTTTATGTGAAGTCTCCTCGCCCTCTTGATTGTTTATGTATTCCCGCCATCTGAGCAATCAAGTGGTCACTGTAAGTGTGCGCTCTGTACTATCTGACTTCTTTTCGGGAAAGGTTGTGCGCACTAAAAAGTATATTTCTTTTATAATACTTAACATTATTTATTTATTTATTTATTCTTTCACACTGCGCAATGCTCTGTCCAAACCTTTTCCCTCGTTCATGCCAGCAATGAAACCCCAACCCACGTGCTTAGCAGCGCAACGATTCAGTTACTACAGAAAACAGCGAATATCGTGCGCTCATATTCAGGCAACAATGAATTGTGTGCTACGTGAATTTACAGGCGGCCTCGATCAAAGATCAGATAACCATATCGGAAACGGCTGATCGCCGACAAGCGCTGGACCCGAGTTGATAAATGAACTCTTATCAAAACCGGTCCTTGCAGTTTCCCTTCGGGCGAGGGAGGGGGAAGCAGAAATCATTGGAAAATGGCGGAAACAAACACGCACGTGGCTGGCGCACTAGTGAGGGCCAGGTTTATGTATGCTTGCCGGTGCCGAATTTTTCGCGTATACGGCGCCGCCACCGAGATCTGCGAGCTGCAATGTACACCTTTTGCTTCAAAAAAAAAAAAAAAAAAAAGATGAAAGATTATCTTTAAAAGGAATAGTGTTTGCAAAAAAATGAATTGAGTTATATAAGCCTTGTTATGTTTTCTATAAATTATGTCCAAGATGGTGGTAGCGTACCTTACGGTGCGTGTAATTTACCAGTATTATCTGCTTCCTAAACATTATAAGATATTCAAAGTACCTGTTTATCTTACCAAGACTTACGTAGAAAATATTTTGTTTCATATAGTGTTGGTTTGATACTCAGGTACACCCCTAATGTCACAAGATCAACAACTCTTTTTTTTCTTTTTTTTACTTCTTTTTGCAAATAATTGTTTGTACTTCCACCCTGTAACGGCCCACTTCTGGGCTAACAGTATAAATAAATGAAATGAAATGAAATGAAACTACCCGGCGAGAGAGATTAAGAGGAAGGCCAGGAAGTTAACCAGATATGAGCATCCCGTTTGCTACCCACTCTCTATTACAGTGTATAACGTACGTTTAATATATTTTTCGTGTAAGTATTTAGGTAACTGGTGCGCCGCTAAGGGCGCCACCTTACCCTGTTAATCTTATTAGTAAAAAAAAAGAAAAGTTTATCATTGACTCACGGCAGTCTTTCAAGGTATGGCGCCGACTGGGCCAGCTGATCGGCAAGCCATTTCTTTCAAGAAGCACGTACTCCTGCTCGATACCGAACCAGGGCTCTTCGGCTTTCGCAGATTCCATTGCCATTTTGCAAGAGTGGCGTGTGTTTGCGTCTGAAAAAAAGAAGCGAATCGGCTCATTAATGATGTAATCGGAAAACCTGATATGTATGCATACTAAGCATATTGCCACATGCTCTTCTTTTTCTGCTCGTTCGTGCATGGTTCATTACACTTATAACCACTGGCTAGTGCAGAATACGCCCAAATGTCTGGCGTGGTATTATAATCTTCTGATTGGCTGGAGTGCGCGAACACGGAGAGTTGAGCTTATAATTCTGCAACTCACGTGGTCACTAGCGATAAGTCTCCGATGTTCAATAACTAGTGCAGAAATGTCGATGTGCTTTACTGCACATGAGATAATCAACGGTCGACGCGTCAGCGCCAACAGTGTGCAATGTGCATTTCTTGTGGTCTTACTTTTTGTTCCCCGGGTGCCAGCTCGCCCAAATAAAGAGTTAAGGCGCTGATATACTCCAGCGTATAAGCATGACCGCACAGAAAGCGTGGTGTGGGCGTTGCGTCGGTTACGCAGTACTTTTGAAATTATTACGGTTGTTTTATTGCGATAGCAATTATATGGATACTCTCGGCTGGATTTTGCTGCCGGCGTCGACGTCGGCGTCGATGTCATGCACCGTGTATACGTATTTATATATATGAAAACGCAAGAAAGAAAAAAAATCCAGAAAAATTGGCCCCTGTCTGCATGTAATCTGCAAATGTCGTCGAAAGACGATAGTCTTGCGTGTGGAGAGAGTGAACAATTAATTTTATGTCTGCGCAAGCAAATCGGTGACTGGTATTTTGGTGGCGCTGCGTTAGAGTGCCTCGAGCGTGCAGCGGAGGCGAACGAGTGCATCAAGTCACGTCACACGTTACACATGAGCGCCACCTGGCAGTCTTCTTGCAAAACGAAGCGCGTGGCTCTGAGACGGTTGTGCGCGCCCGTCTCAGAGGTGACAAGGGGAGGAACGCAAGGCGACGGGTAGGTGCCACCACCATCGCGTCTTAGGAAAGCGTTGGAAGCACTCATCTTTTCGTGCAAGCGTTGCTGAATCAGCGCAGCGTGATAAGCGCTACGGTCCCTAAAATTACTTATGTATGCATTATGCACACGCAAGATGAATACGTGTTGTTATAGTGCCCCAGACTAGCGCAATAATTGCTTATTCATTCACAATTGCACAAGTACGAACGCTAAACCTTGAGCAACATTGGTGGGCGCTGCGGATGGGGTCGGCAGTTTCAAGTATCCGGTGCCGTTAAGAGTGGACAAACAGACAAGTGTACAGACAGACAGACCAAGATGTATGCGTCGAAGGTCCCCAAGAAAGGCTATTGTCTTTAAAAACACTCTGGCGCGCGGAATCGAACGTGGGATCTCTGCGTCATGAAAGCGAGGCGTTATAACCACTGACCCACCCCGGCGCACAACACTCACCATTCAAACGGCAAGCTACTTATATCTACCGCCTACCGCATGCTCACGAGCATCTCGGGGGAGATTTGTGTTTTCAGCACTTTGCCCGGCTGAGAGAAGGGGAGCGACGCTCTCTCGCGCGCCTTTATCTCGCGGTGGCGAGGAGGGGAAAGTCGTACGCCTTGGCTGGCCTCGGACTTTACCTGGAACCATTCTGCTGTAGTTACCGGGTGCACAAAGGTCACTGCAATCATTGCAGTCTCCGTTTGCGAAAGGCGCGCGCTTTTCAGACACAGAAAAGTAACAAATGAGACGCTTATTCGCGTGCATTCGTACCTGTGAGTACGTTTTGTGCGTCATTTGTGCGTGAGGAAGGCGGGGCCTGTTTCGATCTGCTATCCATTCTGCGCTTGACCTTTCAATTTGTTGTCATCGCGTTCATTGCTTCGCCTTTCCAGCAAAGCTGTCACTTTTGTATTTTTAATAGGTTGCTCGATTATCGCACACATCATTCCACTGCAATGAATTTATCTGAATATACAGGGAAGCTACGCACGCCGTCCATCTAGTGTTGCAGCTTCTGCCTCGTCCTGAACTCGCTACAGCTGCAACCATCACAAACTTTTGTTATGAGCCGGCAGCATTCAGGGACGCCGCTGGTACGTGAATGCCTTTTCTCATCTAGTGCTCCATGAGAAATCGAGGGATGCGACTCCAAGCCCACGAAGCGTTCCCAAGGTGAAGCGGGTCATGCGACTGGCACTGAAAAATGTGAATATAATTTAGCATTATGGATGGTACTGTACTCCATAGAGCTATACATAATTAGCAATTTTTACTAAAAGGCACGCCACACATACTTGGAGTGGCGACTTTTTAGGGGCGAAGCTCCTTAGGGCGTGGGCTGTGCGTCCCCTGTAGCCTGTATGTAGCCACCTCTAGTTTAGTTCTTGCAGTGTTCACTAGATGGCGGTACCGTCCCCTGTATGTAGCCACCTCTAGTTTAGTTCTTGCAGTGTTCACTAGATGGCGGTACCGTCTCCTGTATGTAGCCACCTCTCGTTTAGTTCTTGTAGTGTTTACTAGATGGTGGTACTTGTAGCTGATGATGAAAAGATGCAAGATGTTATAAACTAGAAAGCGGTACTTGTAGTTGATGAAAGACGCGAGATCTTATAAAATAGGAATGATGTCACATATGGCGCGTGCCATTGGTTGAAGGCAATCGTTCGATTTAGTGCGGAGAATATGCAGCCATCAAACTCTTTGACTCTGGAATCGTCCTCATGACCATGTACCTCGCTCCCAACCTGTCGACCGGAAACATCAAGACATTCATAGACACTGCGTTACGAAATTATGAGAACAAATACAAGAATGGACCATTTGTACTACTTGGAGACTTTAACGTGGCTATCATAGACAATAATTGGCTTATCCAACATATGGCTTCTAGATATGCACTCAGACGTCTATCGTTTGACCATATGAAACCTACCACGATCCGAGGAACATGCATAGACCTAGTATTTGCAAATTGCCCACTGCAACCCATACAGGAACCGCTCTCCCTTCATTCACAGACCATAAAGCCGTCATAATGAAGGGACATCGCAAGCCATCCATCGTCTAAGAACAAATAAAAGTTGATTTGTGTATATACACACACAGCGTTTCTCACGTCTTTACATGATGATCGACTGGGCGAATTACACGGAAGATTCACAGTTTACCGATAAATCCCTCCGGAGCTTCGCCCATTCATCATCATTCACCCCGTGAATATGCCGTAATTTTTGGGTGAAATTTGAAGAAAATTGGCCACTTTTGGCGACATGTCACTCGTCGTTTGTCGAATTTCTTTCGAAAGTCAGTGACAACCCTGCCTCTGACGCGCTCCGGCGTTGCTCCAGCAGCATTGGGCGCCCTTTCTCGTCAGCCGTAGCAACTTCGCCATAACAAAATGCGCTCTCACCACTACTCCGCTTAAAGTCCCTTGATCTTCAACTCAGCTGCGCATACGCTGCTTTGGCAGTGGCCGCTGTGTCGGGCCCAAGGAGGATTAAAAAAAAAATTGCTGGAGTGGAAATGATTGCGCAGAAGTGAAGCCGTTCCTCTGGCAAGATGGCAGTTGTGGCGGCCATCTTACTAGGGGCATCATAAAGTATCACCGTTGAGCGATTAAAAACGAAGCGTTTCCCTCGCACGCCCAACGAGTTTAATGTGGCAACTTTTTCGGGTCACATAGTGCTCCAAGTGCGTCTTACAGTTACTAGTTTTCCTAAGTGGGCCCCTAATTAGAGGCAAAGTTCTTTGATGATTCAGTTATTCATGCTCGTTTCTGCATGTTATTTCGTGGGGAACAACTGTCTTTTAAAATAGAACTAACGTAACATTTACATAACATATCCAAGCCACTTGATCTTTAGAAGGGCACTATCAGAAAAGAGAATCTTTCCGCCATCTTGGCAGTGGCAAAAGGTGGCTTCACTTGTGCTGGCAAGGCATTGCGGGAGCTTCCACTACAGCAATTTTTCTTTAATCCTCCTTGGTCGGGCCGCGTCGCGTTGGCGCCATGTTGCACGTGGTCTCGCGCCTGGCATGGCATCGCCGACGTGACCCGATGAAATGAACCCCGGCGAGCGAGTGCCGTTAGAACGTCGGAATATAGCAGAGCCTTTAGGTCTTTAGTAACTGTACTGCCGTCTTCTTCGTCGTCACGACCTGGAGATAACATGCATTGCTGATCGGTGTCGCTTAATAAGGAAAATTCGACGCACGATCAGTAGTGCTACAGCGGCGGTCACTTTCTGCCCCACTTTCTTCGGTATTTCTGCGTGTGAAGCTCCTGGAGTGCTAGCCGGCGTTACTGGTAGCTGTTGTGGCAACTGAGCAAGACTATTGTCACCAGATAGTGCGTATATTGGGTTTCGGTGTTTTGCACGTCATCCAAAGAAGCAAGACTTTTTGAATGTAAAAGGGAACCAATCGTTGCTGGCTCGTGTAAGAACATTTCCACTAGCGCATGCAGGTTTGGTCGGTTGTGTAGTCAGCCGCATGTGTCATTTCATAATAAACAATAACTGCGCAGGTTTCGCCTATTAAAACTACGATGGGATTATGTGAGGCTCAGCAAGGTGGGGCTTCGAAAATTTCGACATCCTTGGGTCTTTTAAGTCGCACCTAAATCTAAGCACATGGGTCTCTATCGTTTTGCTTTCGAGGAAATGTGCCCACCGCGGCCGTGGTTCGAACCCGCAACCTTCTGGTCATCGATCAAGTTACATTACTAATGACCCACTGCGGCGTATCTGCACATTATCAGTCGACGTGTACTACTATTGCATAACGTGCGTATTTTGTAAGCAAATAAACTTCAAGAAAAGGCACCGCGTATATTTACCGTTCAATTGATCGTCCGAGTTGAGAACTTCGCAGAGAACCAGCTTGTTCCGGCCCTTGAAAAAGGGATCCCTGAACAGAGCTATTGGGGACAGGTACAGTTCAGAGTCAACGTCCGCATCCGGCCACTGGTCAGTGCCCTTGCCACAAAACGTGCACCTCGGGCACTCTGGAGCGAAGGAGTGAGGAAAGGATGCAGACTATACTAACACACAACAGCGAGTCCATGCATAGCAGTTGATCACTAATCGAGAACGAGCTGGCAGTAGAATATTGAACTACTTGTATATAAAATAGCGTATAGTTTCCATCAAGATTTGCACATTTGTTGCACATTTTTTACCACCGTTATGGATTAGTTTGCAATGCAGTAAAATATGGCTTTTTTCTTTCATCTACGAGTATGTACCCTCGCCTTGTGTAATACACACCATCAATGGGGTCCTTGAAGAATAAAATTGAAATGAAGTGAATATAATGAACTAAAATTAATTAACCACCCTTCGTGCAACATAAGGATGGTTGTATTATTTGCCTTTCTTAAAATTAATTATGTGGCTCAATACAGATGCCTTTTTAACATCTTCTATTCTCCTCAGCGCTTTCCCCAGCACAGGGTAGCCAGCCGGTCTAAGAACTGGCTAACCTCCCTGCCTTTCCGCTTAAACTTTCTTCCTCCTCCTTCGTAGTTCCCATTGATGGTGGACGTAAGCGCATGCAGGTAACAAAGTCGGGACACATTCGAGACTAGCTGCAATCGCCTGGTTGCTATTAAGACGTATAACAAAGTGACCTCACAGATGAAAAAATGCAATAGAAGCAGACCCACTGTACCTTCGGGTGATAGTGGTTCGTAGTTGAGTACTCTCATCTTTGATCTCACGTTCTCCAATGTACCATCGACGAACACGTAAGTACAAAACACCTGGTCGGCCGGTTGTTCCAGCTCCAAATATTTCTTAAAAACGTCTGGTCTTGCAGTTGCCATAGCGAACTTGTACGCAACGTTCAGTTGACAGGAGTATACGGTTTTAGTCGCCAATCTCTGTCCGCAACGTACCCGCCGTCCGTCTCTCGCTTCGAGGCCTGGAATTGTGCGGCGAAAAAAAAAAACGCTATAGCCGGCTGCGTGGCTTTTTGCTGGAAGCGCAATGCTGTTTGTCAGTCTGGCGTTTTAAGACGATAAAAATGTGGCGTCTGCTTACGAAACGAGAATAGTGCGCTTTATTAGTTCCAGTTTTTTTTTTTAATTTTATTTATCTTCAAGCGGCTGAGCTGTCGTGTGGCGTATTCGTCAAGGATACACCTGCGGCAACGTGAACCTGCTATTATACCAGCCACACAACGGCTCACAGACACGCAAAACAGAAATCTTTGATGTCCCACAGCCAGTGTTTTGACGTTCATTTAATATGAATGAAACCTCAGCAATTATCTCATCTGGTGATTATGATATCGTTACTTCGAAATGAACGAAGTAAGAGTTTGGAAAAGCTTATTACATTAGCCCAAACTTTTTTTAGTGTTTCTGTTAGGGTCTCTTTGAAGGGTTGTTTGATTCATGGATATGTGGTGTGTAACGTTCCAAAACCACCATATGATAGTGAGAGACGCCGTAGTGGAGGGCTCCGGAAATTTCGACCACCTGGGGTTCTTTATCGTGCACCCAAATGTGAGCACACGGGCCTACAGCATTTTCGCCTCCATCGAAAATGCAGCCGCCGCAGTCGGGATTCGATCCGGGGACCTGCGCGTCAGCAGCCGAGTACCTTAGCCACTAGACGACCGCGGCGGGGCTTGTAACGTCACGTTACGCCTTATAGGTATTGGTATCACGCGTGTTCAATTAGCAAGTGTAGTTCTGCCTTTTAAATTTGGTCAAGTTTACATTACTGCGAACAGCCATGAATGTGACTAACCACGAATGTCAGACTAACCTTGTAGGTCTGATGATGCTCAGCATGAATGCATTACAGAACTTTAGCCAAACGTAACAGAAAAAGAGCTGGCGTTTGTCCGAGTCTCGCTGCCACTGACCTCAACCGATCTCCAAGCATGATCCACAACTTCCAATTGTATGAATCGTTACCTTCAGGCTGCGATTCCCAGTGCTAAGTAACAATTATCGTTTACCAGCCTGAACAGCAGCCACTCGGCGCAGTGAAACGCTGGGTATGTGTCAAGCAATTCATGGAGATGCGGACTTTCGTATAGAGGAAATTGTTTGTGGGGTAGACTGGTAAGTCGTCGAGGTGAAGGAATGGTGATCGCCCTGCTGAAGTAACTGAAGGGCCTCTAAACCACCTCCGATGTTTTCTTAGCATTCTAAGTAAACGTGCGCGTCGATTTCAGAGCGCCGTCGTTATGAACAACGCTAGACAATGGGCCACAAAATAAAATAAAATAACATTCCGCGATTCTCCGGTCCTTTCAGGTCTCCCCAGTGCTGGTCGCGACGTCACCTGGGTGATCGGGTGATGGCGCCATGGAGCAGGCGCTGTCGATTAGTCGACAAGCTTATTTTCTAGCTATAGTAAGAGCACGTACTACCTGCTCTTCCCCGTCGTGTTGCTGGGTGCACGGTGAGGAGAGGCACTTTGCGAGAAGGACACACAAGTCGACAAACGGAGCGTATAGCAGGGAAAAGAGTGAGGCGTCGATCATGAAGCGCGTGGAATTCTAATATTGCGGTAACGTCTAAAAAAAAAAATCGACCACGTACTTGTTGTATACTCGTGCACAACAGCAGCACTACAACTAAATTTCGGCCTCTGCGTGGTTTAGGGGCCCTTTAAGTACGTGGTTGATGTTCTGGAGTGTATGCTTGCGTGGATGTGTACGTGAACTATATAGGGCCGATATCGCAACTGCATAAAGGCCAGCCAGAATCACATTCGGCAGGAGTGCGAGGGGAACCCACATGCCACAACAATACTGCTGGCTTCCTCTTGCAAGGCGTGGGAGTCACTGCGGTCGTCAACTGACGACCATGTCCAGGTAGAAGCGATTAACTGGGTCGTGCACGCAAGATATTGCTGGTGGCAGGCTAACTTCAGAAACTTCGTTGAGTCATAAGGCTTTTTATCCGTCTCTTTTATAAATGATTTTATATTACAAGCTTTCTTGGTATAAAATGGTTCATAAAGGACATACATAATATTGAATGGGTCAATCGGCCACCCTTCTAGAGAAGCGTGGAGATTCGGCAGCGCAACATAAAAATTAATCGAACGCTTTGCAAGGTGAGTCCGTTCATCGTAAAAACGGAGTGGGAAAAAAAAAAGAAAAATGAAGAGACGAGACGAGACAAGAAGGCAGGACGAGCGCTCACTACCTGCTCGCGAACACCTTCTGCGCCCCCTCTCCCTCCCCCTTTTTTGCACTCTGCATTTCTTTCCCAGCGCAGTAGTGTTTAACATTCACGCTGTCACACTATACGACGCGCGCTTCCGCTAGTGGTCAGCACTCCTGCGTGATCAGGGGCTGTGTGACTAAGTTGAGCGTTAATGAATTCGGGTTAGTTAGTGCACAGGTGCGGGTGTCATACACGCGCAGACACATCACCTCGAGTCGTCATACCTACCGCTACACAATTTTTTTAAAGTGACATGCAGCGTATACCACATGATAGTGAGCCTTCGAATCACACAGTCTCTGATAGACGTAATAGAGCGGTTGACTGGGCTAGTTGGTATGGCATACTTGGGTTTTAGCAGCGCGAAAAATGCACAAAAGACAAGAAAGGGACGAGACAAGCACTGACTTCCAACTAAAATTTTATTGACGGGAAGACCGTTAATATGCAATGGAGCACAAAGAGTGAAAAAATGACGTATTTTAAGATACAAATTATCAACTAACGCCATGCCTGCTGCGCCTACCCTCGCACCTCAAGAAACATATCTCTTTATCTGATAGGGCAACTGAAGGCTTGCTTACGCATGCGCTGCTTTCAAGCTCCATTTGAGCAGCCTCATAAATTATACGCACGTTTTCCTCTTTAATCTTGCATAGAACTGTTGTTTTTTCAAACAGCGGAGTGCACCCACACGTGCGCACGTGTTGCGCTAAGAAGCCATCTTTTCCGCCACGAACATTATTGGCATGTTCCCGTAAGCGATCGTTAAGGCATCTGCCCGTCTGGCCCACATAACATGCACCGCAAGAAAAAGGGGTCCTGTAAACGACGCCTAACGCGCAGTCCACAAACTGCGTCCTGTGCCTCACCATACACCGTTTTCTCATACTCTTTACGGGGCAGGTCCTGTTTGTCAACTGGGACAACTTATCAGGGGCACTGAAGACCACTTTCACATTGAGGCGCTGTCCTATTTTCTTTAGGCGGTGTGACACAGAATGCATGTACGGAATAACCGCTACCTTTTCCCTCTTCTCCGCTGCGGTGCCATCACTGTTGCAATCAGTGCCCAATCGTTTCCTTTTTCTGTGCATTGCTTCCGCCACGGAAATGAGCAAAGTACGAGGGTACCCTTCTCTTTCTAGGCGCTCCGACTGTGCCAAGAGACTAGCTTCTAAGACGTGGTGACACGACCTCTCTAAAGCATTGTGAAAACATGATTGAACAATGCCTCTCTTTACTAATTTGCTATGCGCAGACGAGAACGGAAGAACAGGCTTCTGCGAGCGAGGCTCGTAACACCAGCACGTGTGGTTCTCCGAAAAAGAAATCTTTAGGTCAAGAAAGCGGATGCTATCCCTTTCCGGCATCTCGTGCGTCACCACGAGTGGATAGAGGCATTCGCGAAAGATTTGCAACACCTGCATGACCTTGGAATGAAAGGTCTCTAAATCACACCTCAAAATTAACAGATAATCATCCACATACCGAAAGGTCTTTACTACAGATAGTTCACCAAGCTTCACATTCAATGCCCTATCAAATTTGGCTAATAGCAAGTCACTTAGAAAAGGAGCTATGGACGATCCTATTGAGACACCTTCTTTCTGTATATATGTTTTTCCGTTCCATTCTACAAACGTTGATGTGATGTACAAAGATAAAAGTTCTAAGAAACCTTTGGACGAAATACCCGTGGTGTTCTGAAATGGCACCGCGCCGAAACTGTCAATGCATTCATCAATGCATGCTAACAAACCTTCGTGCGGAAGGGAATAATAAAGGTCTTTTATGTCAATCGAAAAAGCTCTAAACCTCGCGCCTGGATGCTGCTTCAGAAAGTTGACGACTTCTCCAGAGTTGAATATTCTGAAGGGGTCTTCTACAGGGAACAATTTCAGCTTATCTTGCAAAAACCGCCCTAGATCATACTGCCAAGAATTCCTTTCCGAAACGATTGTGCGGAAAGGTGCTCCTTCTTTGTGAGTCTTGGTTGTGAAAAACATATTTAAGGACTCGTGTACCCGATTTGCTCGTGTACACTAACGTGACGACCGTCGATGTGATTATAAAAGAATGCCGTCGCTTCGAAAGGGCCAAAAGCCGACGTGTCCTGCCTCAATTTACGCGCCTACCAAAGACAGCTGTTACATCTACCTGCACCGATCTCACTGCCGCAACACCCATGCAAGAGAACGTGACACGTATAGTTCGACGGGAGCTTGAGGCGTCAAGTCGCTCAAACGGCTCCGGTGGTCTCTGTTATTCAAGCAGCCGTGAGGCAAGAAATTGCAAAGCTCGGTTATCCTGTGGCCTGCTCTGTTTACCGACCCGCCTCCAGACCGATGATAATAAATGCACCACGCCATGACTCATATTTTCTTCCGCGATCCCGCAATCCGTCGAAATGGAGAACAGCAGACGACAAGCCAACCTGCTTCCGCTGTCACCGAGTTGGCCATGTCTCCCGCTACTGTCGCAGTACTTGGTCGCCCCACCGTTGGAGCCAATTTTCTTCTTCTCCTCGGCCATGCGCGGACCCCCGTCGGTATTCGCCCAGCCGTGAGTATCCTGCTTCCGACGCACCTAACGGCCGCTCTACCGCTCGTTCACCGTCACCGCAACGCCGC